AGCTTCATGGCGGCCTCTTGGAGCCTCTTGGAGGCCTCTTGGAACCATCCTGGGAGCCTCTTGGGGGCTTCTTGGGGTCTCATGGCGGCCTCTTGGGGCCTCTTGGAGGCCTCTTGGAGGCCTCTTGGGGCCTCCTGGGCGCCCTTTGGGGTCATCTTGGAAGCGATCGATCAAAGAAGAGGGTGGAGTTAATTAACCTTGCCCCCCCAAGAGACCAAAATGTGGCCAAAACCGTAGTAACACCGATGATGTTGGCTTCCTCGCCGAGGCCGTTTTGGACGCTCCAACTACCAGCGAAACCCCCCGTCCAGGTCCAGGGGAGGGGGTTAGGGGGAGAGGTGAACCCCTCCCCGAAGGGGAAGAAGGAGGGGTGGAAGAGGAAATCCCCTGAACCACCTACGCCCAGAGGGCTGGTGGGATTGGTGGCCTCTTGGGGCTTCCTGAGAACCTCTCGGGGTGGAAAGCTCGGATGTTCGGTTCGTGTTACCCCTCTGGGGCCCCTCTTGGGGCCGTCTTGGGCGCCTCAGGCACCGTCTTGGGGCCATCGTGGGCCGCCTTGGGGCCCTCTTGGAGGCCTCTTCGGCTATCTTGGAGCGGTATTGGAGGCATCTTGGGCCGCCTTTGAGCGTCGGGATGTTAGAAGGCCGAAGCCTCGACCATCCATCAAACACCGATGGGAAAACAATGGCGCTTGCCTCTCGGAGCCTTCGTGGGAGGCCTCTTGGAACCTCTGCGGCCCACTCGGGAGCTCGTTGGGGGCTTCTTGGGTTGCTTGTTTTGTTCTCGACGAGTGGGAACAGAGACACAGAGTGCAGCAGGTAATGTATGCAGTGGGAGAGGGAATGGTTGCCCCTGTTTTTTGCGGGTGCATGCCGCTCTGCCCTCGCAGCTCGCGCAACAAAGCTACGCGCCAACTACACGTGTTCTACATGCAGCAAAAGTACGCACCTGACCCAGTTCAGGCACTACCCATGCAGGGCCCGGCCTGCCACCATGACGCGCCTCTCCATGCCCGCGGCGACGCGCGGAGAGGAGGCCGCCAACAGGGCCCACCAGGCGGAGAGTGCAAGCCGCAAGCGGTTTGCCAAGACCTACGCTACCAGGCGGAAGGAGCTCTACAAGATTCGCTACGCCGACCCCGAGCAGCGGAGGACGAAGCAGCTGAAGGACAAGATCCGCTTCGCGAAGTACCGCGCCGACCAGAAGCACATCGCCCCCCAGAAGCGCCTGAGCCAGGAGCGCCGCACGGCGAAGATCGCCTAGAAGCGGCCCGCCGCGGCTCGCTGAAGGCGCCCACCTGCCGTGGACCCCCTGCACGGCGGGGGGGGCGAGAAGGGGGTGACGGAGCTGCAGGTTGCCACCCTCAACGCCACGAGCCTCCGGGCGGACCGCTTGGAGGAGATCTTTACGTTTCCTGCACTTCGCCACGCACATGTTTTATGTCTTCAGGAGGTCCGGCTAGCCTCCGCCAAGCCCGCGTGGGTCACCAGACTCGCGCTCAAGTATGGTTGGCGCGTGGTGCGCTCCACGCCTCCACCCAGGAACGCCAAGCGTGCCGTTCAGCAGGGCGGCGCTGCCATTTTCTGGCGCCCATCTCTTGGGCGTGTTGCTGTTCATCGAGCCGCTTCCCATCGTGAAGTTGCTATTCGTACCAGGCTGGGAGTTTCTACATCTGGGCATGGGCCAGCTGCAGTGCGCTCCGACCCCTGGATGGAGGAAGTCGTCAATTTCACATCCACCGTGGCTCGTGGTACTCCGCCGGTGCCGCGGTGCATCGCTGGCGACCTGAACCGGCGCCCCTCTTACGTCAACGCGCTGCCGACGCACGCCGCCCTGCGCGCCGCAACTACGCCTGCGACCCTAGCAGGGACCTCTCCTACGCGAGCCGTGGGGGCCGGCATCGAGCTGAAGCTTGAGAGCGTCGCCTTCCTCCCGCTCATTCCTCATCACGGGCTGGCGATCTTCTCTGCGCAGGTCGCCGCCCCGTCGGCGCAGGCTACGCGAATGCGCCGCACTACACGGTTCACGCTCGACCCGGGCACCATCCTGCTGGCGAGCGACACCGAGGAGCTGCAGAGCCACATGGATGCCACCCTGCCGGCCTGCCCAGCCGCCGCCCCTCTCCCGGAGAGGCGGGAGCGATGGCACGCCCGGGCCGAGGGGGCACTGACGGCAGCTGCCCACCAGGGGTGGGCATTACAAGACGGGGCCGCTGAACGCCCCAAGGGATCCCTCCCTACCTCGCGCAGGGCGGCCACGACTCCGGCGGTGCGGCCCGCCGAGCCGATGGAGCTGGTACGCCTGAAACGCCGCGGTCGCCGCATTGCCCACCAGCTCCGCGACCATGCAGACGAGCTCATCGCTGGCCCTCTTCTGCGCCAGTACGTGGACTCGGCCCTCCAGGGCCGGTTGACAGCTGGCCCGAAAGGCCGGCCGACACACGCAGAGGCGCGCGGCAAGATCTCGAAGGCCATCTCCGCGATCCAGCGGGACCTGCTCAGAGATCGCCGCTCCGAGTGGCGCCGCCTCTTCCAGCACTTCACGACTGACACGTGGAGGGGAGCCACTGCAGAGGTTCATGGGCCCTCCGAGTGCCCCAGTTTCAACGCCGAGGACACGACGGAGGAGTGGAAGCGAGCGCGGGCCCCGTCAGACCCCAAATACGACGAGCAGAGGTGCGCGGCCAGGTGGGAGCAGTACGCCGCGGAGGCGCACGAGCCCTTGCCGAAGACCGCCAACGCCCACGACGAGGAGCGGCACCCCTCTTACGCCGACTTCCGGGTCGCCGTGCGCAAGGCCAAAGGCAGCGCAGGCTATGACGGTTGGCACTCTAGCGAGCTCAAGCTGATCTCCGAGCATTTCGAGTTCTTGCTTTTCGAACTCTACACGCTATGGCGGGACACCTGCGAGACCCTCCTGGTCGAGAGGCCCACCACCGAGCTCCAGCACCTCCTCTTCGCCTGGCGGGTCGTTGGGGTGCCAAAGAAAGACCCGACGCAGACCCGGCCTATAGGGGTGGGCTCCGTGCCCCTCAGGCCCTGGCTCACAGCTTGCGAGCCCAGCCTGCCCACGCCACAGGACGCTCAGTTCGCTTGCAAAGCGGGCTCCACGGTGGTCCACGCCTGCTGCTTGCGGCTGCGCGCCTGCCAGCACGGCTCGTGCGGACTGGAGCGCGACCTGTCCAAGTGCTACGACAACGCGCCGCATGCGGTGGCAGACGCGGCGCTCCGCAACGCCCAGACGCCACGCCGAGTGCGGGCGGTGACTAACGCTGCCTGGCGGGGCCCTCGGAGGTGCCAGGTGGCGGGAGAGCTGGCCAGTGAGACACTCTGGCCTACGCGCAGCCTCGCTCAAGGGGACAGCACGGCGCCGAAGGTCCTGTGCCACGTACTTTCCCCCTGGGAGATCAACGGCACCAAGTTCCTTTTCATGGACGACAAGTCCGCCGTCTTCGACTCCGTCCCGCAGATGGAGTCGGACGTGCAGGCCACCAACGCCTTCGACTCAGGCACGGGCGCTATCGAGAACGTCGGGAAGCGCCAGGTCTGGAAGCGAGGGGACAGGACGCAGATCGAGCACATCGGCATCCTCGCTGTCCCTGATGCTCCCGATGAGCCGATTATGCCTGCCGGGGGCTGGACCAAGCTCCGCAAGTGCTTGCACGCCATCCGAGGCCTCCCGGGAGGCAGCGAAGCCAGGGCCACGGCGGTCCGGGCCTACGCTAAACCGTTTTGGACTTGGTGTTCCCCGGTTTTCTCTCTGCCACCGCCCGACGTCGTCCCAGCAGCGATGTCAGCGGTGCTTTCGACGAGGTGCACTTGGTGGTGCCGAGGCCGTTTCTGGGCCTCGAATATCGACCTGCACCCCATCTTCAGCGCGGTGCTCACGGCCATTGATCGCATCACCACCTGGGACCTCCGCTGGAGTACATTCCTCGAGGTGAATTTCACGACGTTCTTCGATGCCATAGGATTCGAGTTCCTGCAGCACGACCCAGAGCGCGGAGTGCAGTTCCGACGCTCGGTGGACGAGCCTGATGTCCGAGTTCGCCGATTGTGCGGGCGCAGACACATCTTCTGGAGCGACGAAGAGATGGTGCCGCACCTCCTTCGCCAAGTATGCCGGGCGCGTCTCGCCACGACTCGGAAGGGGTCGACCAGATCGACATTGAAGCCTCCTCGGCACGAGCGTGGTCCACTTTCCGGGACTCGCTGACCCTGGAGGACAGGATCCACTTGAAGATTTTTCGCTGCGGGGCGACACACAGCCCGACGAGAAGATGGAGCACCACCAGGCCCGATCTCACGGCGGCCTGCCCGTCCTGCGGGGGTCCCCATCGACCGAGTGCGCGCCACTACGTGGCCGAGTGCGCCGCCCTGGCGGGTTTCCGGCAGGAGTTGAACGACGCGTACCACATCCCACCTGGCTGGTGGGCACGCCAGCCGCAGGCGACGCTGAAGACGGGATGGATCATTTTCCCGGCTCACGCGTCCGCGGCCCGCAGAGCGGAGCTCCAGGTGGCCGTCTGCCGCATGGGGTTCGTTGCCATGGCGCAGATGGCAGAGGATTGCGAGGTATTGAAGAGAGCCTAGGGCATCCGAGCGACTTCGTCCCGATGTTCGACTTTTACGGCCTGTTTTTCGACCTCCTCCTCCTCCTCTCCATGTTCACGTTTCCCCCAGGTTCTAACTTTCGTTCAGTTGCTCCTGATGTACAACCCGCCCCTCAACCGATACTGTACAGTGAGAACCGATAGCAAGGACGTAGGATAAGGATGCAGGGCCCTCGAACTTTCCAAATTGGACGCGCTTAGATGTCGAAACTGGCCAGGAATTGGCCGAGAAGGCAAGGATGCAGGGTTGCCCTTGCGAAGTACCGCGAACTTCCCATGGATTTTGAGTGTACCAGGCTCGAGCACTTGAGTCAAACCTGGGGTAGGGACCCAGCGCTCGTCTGTCCGCGGTGCGAGGTCTTGCTGGCCCAGCGATCACAAAAATCAGCCTTTGAAGGAGTCGCGGGCTCAGGGAACCCCGAGCACGACGGCAACATGAAGGGTGTTCCTGAAACCCTGAACCAAAAAACCTTGCCATCTTTTGGGAGGTAAATCTTTACTTCCGCCGCCTTCCGCCGGCCTTCCGCCGCCGTCCGCCGAGGAAGCGGTGCCAACTCCTTCGATCCTCGCAGGCGAGGCCCTTTCTGGAATGCTCCCATCTGGGGCGTCCAACACCAGGTTCTCCCCCTAGCCAGCGGAAGACCGACGAGAGATCAGCGAGGGACCGACCGCGGCAAGTGGCGCTCTGGTGTGCCGTTGCGTTTGCCCCCGTGGGTCCCCCGGTCGGCGACTCCGGAGGGTGTGGTTTGCAAAGGGTGTGGTCTGCAAAATGTTGTGGCAGTGCCCAGCTACAGGCGACGCTCTGCAGAAGAGGAATTGGAATTCTTCGGAATCCGCGGCCCCCGAACCAAGGTGGGGAGAGGGCCCTGGGTCGGCGACTACAATGGGTGTGGTTTGCGATCTGCGTCGTTTGGACTTGGGAGGCACCACGTTGCCTTCGTCGGGCCTCCTCGGGACGCGGTGAAGAGCTCTGTTGAGGTCCACCCGCTCCCCCCAGGCGCGGGGGCCTCACACTGTAAAAACCTGGGCAACCTCGTGAAATGCAACGTACGACGCCGTGCAATTGATGAAACAAGACTGGCACAGCCCGTTCCAGACTTCAAAGCTACAAAAACAACTCCGAGATCGCTTGCCCCCACGATCACCCCTCAATCGAAAAGAAGGTGTGCAAAATCATGGAGATCAGAGGTCATCTGGACGTGAGAGGGCGAGGAGGGAGCAGGGACGAGGAGAAAGCGACCAGGACAAGGCGAGGAGGAGGAAGGAGAAGGAAGGGGTGGTGGTGGGGGCGTTAGCGTAGGCGTTGAAAACGGACCGGGCAAGAGAAAGACACTCTCTACACGCGGGCAGCTTACGCGCCAATGTCGGCGCAAACGACCCCGTCGCTGAAGTCTACATCGCAGAGCGGGGGGGGCAGCTGGGAAGGGGCGTGCCACTCCTTGACAAAAGCCTTGCCCCGCCTTGCGGCCGCCGCAATCGCTACGGCGACCTCCAAGACCGACCTGGAGGTCTGGTTCGGGGTCGGATATCACGCAACGGCGCTTCTCTTCGAGCCTTCTTTTGCATTCGCGATAACGCCTTTGACCGGCCCCGCCCTCCGCCTCCGCCCTCCTTGGTCACGTCACGATTCGCGCCGGCGTCGTCTGGGAATACCACTAGCCCTTTGGCTAAGGTGGTTTACCTTCCAGAAACCTCTTCCTTTCCGGGAGGTTTACCTCCCCCCCTCTCTGGTTCTGTTGGGGTGGCGCGATCGGTCAGAGCGGCCAGGATGGCCCAACATGGCCCAAAGAACGCATCCGATGCTCCAGGATGGCCTCCAAAATGGGTCAAGATAGCCAGCGATGGTTCAAGATAGCTTCCGACATGCCTCCAAGAGGCCCGACGAGCGAGGGCCACAAGAAGGTTTCAAGTACTCTCGGAGCCCCCGTCAGGATCCCCAAGAGGCCAACATCCATCAAAAACCAACGGAAAATCAATGATTGGTGCCTTCGCGCCGTTTCGCTTCCGATGCACTTTTGAAGCCTCAAAACGGCCCCAAGATGGCTCAAGAGAGGCCCAAGAGGGGCCCAAGAGGCCCACAAGACGGCTACAAGAGCGCCCAAGAGCGCCCCAAGAGGGTCCCAAGAGCGCCCCAAGAGGCAATCTTGATGGCCCCAGCGGGGGGAGGGGGGAGAGCAGAAATCGAGAACTGCCCCTTTTGATCGATAGCCTCCAAGATGGCCCCAAGAGGCCCTCCAGGGCCCCCAAGAGACCCCCAAAAGGACCCCAAGAGTGCCTCGAGGGGAGACCCCCCCAAAAAGCCCCAAGAGGAACCCAACATCCCCCCCAAGACCAAAGAGTCTCAAGAGGGCTCCAAGAGGCGATTTTGAGGGCTCTGTCCTCGTCCTCGTTGTCCTCCTCCTCCTCCTTCTCGAACTCGGCCTCGTCCTTCCCCTCATCGTCCTCCTGCTCCCTTTCCTCCTCTTCCTCGTCGTCGTGGTCGTCGTCTTCATCCTCCTCCTCCTCCTCCCCCTCCTCCTCCTGCTTCCCTCGCCCCCACGCGGGCCTCAGGGATGGCCCGAAGAGGCCCTCCAAGGCCACCCCGTTGCTCCCAGAGATTTCTCTGTTCATTCCGGTTGCCCGCTTTGTTACACTACATGTGTCTCTCCCGTCAACTCTCATGGGCAGGGTGTGTGAATAAGCTGGTGGGGGGTACGCGAAGCGTAAGAATTAGCCATTCTCAGGCATTCCCAGACGGCGCCAGCGCGAATCGTGACGTGACTTGCCCCCTCCGCCCCGTCCCCGCCACGCCCGCTACCGCCAGAAGGTAACAAACGCGTCTCTTGGCCCCCTGGCCGTCCCGCCCTGCCTGGGAAGCACAACACGAACGGCTCGCCCGTCCTTCCGTCCTGCCAGCAGGGCGCAAAAGCGGCGCGGCGGCGCGGCAGCGCGCAATGCCATCACGTAGAGAGAAGAGCCGTGGGAAAGTGAGGGGGTCCTCCTTCTCCCTCCTCCCTCCTCCATCCTTCCTCCTCCCTCCTCCCTCCTCCCTCCTCCCTCCCCCCCTCCTCGTCCTCCTCGTCCTCCTCCTCCTCCTGCTCCATTGTTTCACTCACTTCCTCCTCCTCCTCCTCCTCCTCATCCTCATCGTCATCATCATCATCATCATCGTCACGACCACCACCGTCATCAGCATCAGCTTCATCATCAGCAACGTCATCATCATCATCATCATCATCATCATCATCAGCATCATCACCATCATCATCACCACCGCCATCATCATCAGCATCATCATCACCATCCTCATCACCATCATCACCACCACCATCACCAGCATCCTCATCATCATCATCAGCATCATCATCGCCATCATCATCAGCATCATCATCAGCATCAGCATCAGCATCAGCATCATCATCATGATCCTCATCAGCATCAGCGTCAGCATCAACATAATCGTCACCATCATCAGAAACAGCATCACCATCATCAGCATCATTATCAGCAGCACCATCATCGTCGTCATCAGCATCATCATCGTCATCATCATCGTCGTCATCAGCATCAGCATGACCATCAATATCAGCATCAGCATCATCAACATCGTTATGTTGATCAGCATCGTGGTCGTCATCACCATCATCATCAGCATCATCACTATCCTCATCATCATCAGCAGCATCAGCATCAGCATCGTCGTCATGATCGTCATCATCATCACCATCATCAGCACCATCATCGTCATCGTCGACATCATCATCGGCATAATCGTCATTAACAGGATCATCGTCATCAGCTTCATCGTCATCATCATGGTAATCAGCATCATCAGCATCAGCATCATCAGCATCATCATCAACATCATCATCATCACAAGCACAAGCTTCATCAGCAGTACCAGCATCAGCAGCAACATCATCATGTTCAACATCATCATCATCATCGGCATCATCATCACCACCATCATCATCGTCATAATCACCATCATTATACGCAGCATCAGCATTATCATCATCATCATCAGCATCATCATCATCATCGTCATCATCATCCTTGTCGTCATCATCATCAGTATCGTCATCGTCATCACCAGCAGCATCACCATTTTCGTCAGTACAATCACCGCAACCACCCTCATCATCACCCTCATCATCAGCACCATCATCAACAACAACAAAAATAGCATCAACAACAATGACACCAACAAACAATTTAAGACTGCTCGCTGTGCCCTGCTCGCGTGCCACTCAACACGTCTATCCCAAACCCTCGATACCCGCCCTCTTTGTTTTCGATCTTGCACCCTTCGGGGTGTATCTTTCTTACCTGCAACGTGTGTATTGCGTGCAGCCCCGAATGCAGGGAAAGAGAGGACGGATGGAAGAAAGGGACAAGGGGGAGGGAGGAAGATGGAGGACGAGAGAAAATAGCAGGAGGGGGGCTAGGAGCAGAAAACACGTGGCAGGACCAGACGGGCAGATCAGGCGCAAATCAGGCGGGTAGACTCTAACGGGCGGGTCGGGAAGGCGAGCCTTGACGGCCAGGTCGAGCAGGCGGATTGCTAAACTCTGGCAAGGGCCTCTGCGAATACACCTTGAGGAAGTATCGAACGATAGCCCTTGTCGTCGTAGCCGGGCCTCCACCAATTTGACTGAATCACGAAGTCTCAAGCGAGAGCGCCGCTCCTGAGTTCGGGGGCCTTCCTGGCCAGGGGCTCTCAGAGTAAATCGTTCGGAAATATCGAGCAGGAGCCCTTGAGGTCGTGGCTGGGCCTCCGCCAGCTTGACTGATTTGCGATGAATTCTAAACGCGAGAGCGCCGTTCCTGAGATTGGGGGCCTCTCCAGCCAGGGTGTATCTGAGAAAATTGTGAGGAAGTATCGTGCGGGAGCCGTTGTCGTCGTAGCCGGGCCTCCAAAGGCTCACTTTTACACTAAAGCCAACGCTCGCGCGGGAGCCTTGTTTTCAGAGAAAATCTTGCCGGCATCGAGGCGAGAGCGCGCGGAACCGTTTCCAGATATCCACAATCCGCCGACCCTGTCGGCGTGTGGAAAAGGCTGTTCCGTTTGACTCGTCGTCGTCGTCGTCGTCGTCGTCGTGGTCGTTGTCGTCGTCGAGCGGGCCAGCCACAGCGAAATTGAGCAACGTTGTAGTGGAGTCGAAGGGAAGCCCCTTCCCTTTGATCACTTCCCCGCCGGTGGGGGAGATCCCGGGGAAGTCCCGGGTCAGACACGACTCCCCCCCGGGCGGTTCGGGGGCCCAGAAAAGCCCCAAGACGCTGCAAAAATGCCCCAAGATGCCCCCAAGACGGTCCTCGAGGGCCCCGAATCGCCGAAGTATCGGTCCAAGTCGCCACAGTAATCTCCCAAGGGGCCTCCAAGAGGACGTCAAAGAGGGCACCAAGGAACAAGAATCATCGATTTCCCTGAGCTTTTTTAATAGATTTTGGCATTCTCGCCTTGTCAGCTTCCCGACGCTCCAAGACAGGCCAAGGGGTCCCCAAGACTGCCCCAAGACGGCCTGAGAGGGGTCCAAGAGAGCCCCAAAACGACCCAAGAGGGCCCCAAGATCGTACAAGAGGCCTCCAAGACAATCGAAGAGGCTCCCAGAACGGTTGTAAGAGGGAGCCCAGACGGGGGACCCGAACGGACATTTCGAGCCCTCGGCTGGAGAAGCTCTCAGGAGACCCCCAGAGGAGCCGAAGAAGCCCCCCCAAGAAGCCCCAAGAGGCCCCCAAGTGACCCCCAGGAAGCCCCAAGAGGCCCCCTCGAGGATCCCGAGCGGCCCCCAAAAGCTTCCCAAGAGGCCCCCAAACTACCCCCAGGAGGCCTCCGAGAGCTTCGTCGTTGTGGTCGTGGTTGTCGCCGCCATGCAGGGTCGGCGGAACCGGCCGTAAGGCCTTCGCAATGAGTATTCTCTAGAAATGCGTATACAACAACAATACCACCACAACAACAACAACAACAACAACAACAACAACAACAACAACAACAACAACAACAACAACAACAACAACAACAACAGCAGCAGCAGCAGCAGCAACAACAACAGCAACATCAACAGCACCAACCATAACAGCACAAACAAACAGAACACCACCAACAACAATAACAACAACGGCATCATCATCATCGTCATCATCATCATCATCCTCCTCATCATCATCAGCAGCATCATGATTATCACAGAGCTTCCAAGGGGGTGCCCCTGGGCGGCTTCTCGCCGTGGCCACGAGAGGGCCGCTTGACACGATGGATCTCTCTGCGAACTGCACCTACCAAGATCATGAGGAGGAGCAGCAGCAGGAGCAACAGCAGGGAAAGCAGTAGAAGGATAACGAGAATGCCGCAATCGACACAAAGACACCGACACCGCTACTTCCTGGGCCTCTCCCAGGGAAGCGCTCTCCGATCAGGATTCCGAGGCAAGCCCAGCCGGTGTGGCGGCAAGGCCCCCCGGAAGGAGGCCCAGACAGGCGGAAACGGAGGAGGGGCATCGGTGTCTGTGGTTACGCCGCATTCTCCCCCGCGACAGGGAGCCGGATGACCACATCCGCCCCTCGAGATCGCAGCCGAAACGAAACTTGCATGGGGTGCCGCCGCCGGCGGCCAAGGCCGCCCGCCGATCCTGCGCACGCCCGAGAAGGGCAGGGGAAGGGGCACGGCAGGGGGATACCCGGGCTCAAGGGAGGGTGGGGGGGCTGTGGAGCAGAGCTCGGAGGTGAAAAGCACCCCCTCGTCGGCGGCGAGCGAGGGGGGAGAAGTGAGAAGGCCTCCTCAGAAGGCGGCGGGGCTTCTCGGAAGCCCTTCGGCCTTCCGAGAGGTCTTCCGCATCTTCGGGGAGGGCTCGGGAGACTCCTTAGAACAGAAAAAAGAAAAATAAAAAAAAAAAAAAAAACAAAAAAATTAAAAAAAAAAAAAAAAAAAAAAAGGGAAAAAAAAAAAAAAAAAAAAAAAAAAAAAAAAAAAAAAGAAAAAAAAAAAGAAAAAGAAAAAAAATAAAGAAAAAAAAAAAAAAAAAAAAAAAAAAAAAAAAAAAAAAAAAAAAAAAAAAAAAAAAAAAATAAAAAAAAAAAAAAGAAGAAAAACAAAAAAAAAAAGAAAAAAGAAAAAAAGAAAAAAAATAGAAAAGAAAACAAAAAAAAAAAAAAAAAAAAAAAAAAAAAAAAGAAAAAAAAAAAAAGCTAAAAAAAAAAAAAAAAAAAAAAAAAAAAAAAAAAAAAAAAAAAAAGAATAAAAAATAAAAAAAAAAAGAAAAAAAAAAAAAAAAAAGAACAAACAAAAAAAAAAAAAAAAAAAAAAAAAAAAAAATAAGCCCCGGGGACGTCCGGGCCTTCCGAGAAGGCCTGCCCCCCTCTCACTTCCCCACCGCCCTCGCCGCCGACCTGTAGCAAGACGCCCTTGTCGTGGAGGCTGCCAACGGCACTCCACGTGCGCACGGTACCACACTCTGAGAGCACCCCGAGGGCCAACGAGCGAGAACGTCCGACCCCCCGCCCGCGTGAGCCTCGCATACCCCGCCCCCTGACCCTCTCCCTCCGGCGCTCCAAGTTTCTGATGCGTGGACCCCTGGAGGCCTGGGCCACTTCCCCTGGAGCTGGGGTCTCGTCCTGAATCCGTTTTGACGTTCCCGGGGCCCCATCGAGGGCCCCAGGCCCGAAGAGGCCGGAAACCAACAAAAAAAACATGATCTTGCATACAAAAAAAAACACTCCCCGTTTCTGTCCGAGCCTCGGATCTCTGGGATGGGAACTCTCCTCCCCTCGTGGTAGCCTTCTTATCCACCTGCTACTGCATGTTCCTCATTTCGCTGCGCCGCTGCTCGGCTAGGCCTGCCGCTTTCGTATGGGTTGCCATCTTTTGCAGACGCTACGATTCCAGTCGATCCAAATTTGCCGAACGTCAAGG